GTATTGTGGTCCTACAAGTATTCCAAATTATGAGTAGGTACAGCAGGAATCAAGCCTTCAACTAGATTGTTAGGGATGAATGGCCAGGAATTTGTGAAAGTTTTGGAATATGAGTACTTGAACTGGCACTTACAGTGCCAGGCCACGTCCCAACAATTAAAATTTCTACTCGCCCGAAGTACTTAGTCAACTTAATATTCCTGATATAGTAAGGCTTGATTCCTTGTGCATCACTTTACATTTCATTTTACATGTTAGAATGAGCCTCTGTACTGATGACCTCACACTTTGTTTAGTAAGATTTGAGGCTTTGCATGGTGGAGATACTAAGTAATGAAAGGTTTGCGGAAACACCATGTGCGAATAATTTCTCAACTAAGAGAATTGTTCTGAAAAGAACCAGAGGTATAAACTCTTGAGTTTATACCTCTTGTTCTTTTCAGAACCATTCTCTTAGTTGAGAAATTATTCGCACATGGTGTTTCCGCAAACACTTTGTTTACATGTGCATTTTCCTATAGAGCCAGTGGGGTCCACGGTCCACTGAGCACCATAGGAAAGCACACATGTAAACAAAGTGTTATGTCATCAGTACAGAGGCTTATTAGAAAAAGGCTCAACCAAAAATACTGTTTGAAATCGATGATGAACCCTGTTGGAATCTATTACACACTTGCCTACATGTACATGTACTATACGGAAGCATCGTAATTGTATGCAGTATTTTTAATCTAATTAGCCACTATTAAGTATGGTTTGCAAGTTTAACATTTAATCCTGACATAGACATATCTCTATTTTAATACAGATATCTCTATTTCCAGACGTGCCATATTACCAATCAATCCTGCAGTAGAGTACCTCAATTAGAAATTGAGGTACATGTATTTCTATTCAACATGGAGATATCTCGATAACATATAGAACTATCTCTATTTCGGGATAAAATGTAAACTGGACACAACTGGAAATAGGGATATCTCTATTCAAATAGAGATATCTCTATTTCAGGATTTATGTTAAATTTGCATGCCATATATTAGATTGGGACATTTATATCACACTCACAGATTGTTTAGTGAACAGACAACCTGTGTTTTTCAGAACACAACTTGAGAAAGGGTCCTACGTGAAAAGAAAAATGAACTCTTCACATTCTGACCAAACAATTCTGAAATGCTTGTGTGACAAAAAAAATCAAAGAAATCCTGCAACTGATAAATATTTGTTTATTTTATACACTGTGTATTACTTGCAATTACTATTTCTCCCCACATAATCTATAACACCCAATATTGATGTACCTTGCTCAGCCAATGTACATACTCTGGACTCTGTGCATACAAACCCCTTAATTTAGAGAGAGAGGCCACAGACACTTGAGAGAACTCCCCATGGACCTTATTCACGAGAAAGCCATCTTGGTCAGGTTCCCTGAATGTATCCTATTAATTGTGAACTGTTGAACGTGATGGTGCCAGACTATGTACACCTTCTAGCCTCACTTTCATTTTTTTGTGGCTTAAAACATTAGGCTATGTTTAATCACAAATTCAAAATTATTCATTAGAGCAGACTGGTATAATGTGTAATTAACTTTATATTATTGTTTTCATTTCTCTTCCCAAGTTCCAAAAATGAAGAGTTTACCTCACTTTAAATTCAATATGGCTGACTCGTGAATAAAACCCATGTGCACCGAGCTCATGCTCAAACCAGAGCCCACAGTCCATGCACCTTGTCCCACACAATGCAACTGTAGGGGTGCATTCCACTCATACGAACATGTTTGCATTTGTTAGCTAGGCCCCTGCGAACATAACAACCCCAGGTGGACTGATAATGCCATCAAGAAGCTGTTGTCAAAATGGCAGTGCCCGGTGCTAATAGTGTCACTGTGTTGATAGCAGCTTTTCAAATCTTCAAGAATTAATTGTGACTAAACATGAAATTTCGCCAGTGATTATTATGAGGTTCCTGGAGATTTTTGACGTAGAAAACGGCAAATTTCAGCTCCAAAAGCTCACCGTGTGTGAGTCGGCCATCTTGGAAAACATAGTGATCGACTCGGGAAGACTGCTAGCCTTTAATCTGTTGCTAACTGAGCTACAAACAGTCAGTCCTACATACGCCAATATTGCCAACTTGGGCAAACGTTAGCATTCTTCACGTAAGTGGAACTCACCCCTGATTAGGCCACACAGTGCAACTCATGTTCCTGCTCAGGGTCTGCAGCTAACTGTCATGGTAACAACAATTAGGCTTCAATTTTTCCCAAATGACTAGCAACAAAAATCGAAGGAATAACAGTTAATACTATGAGGAAAAAAGGTCACACTCGGGGATTATCAACAAATACATGTATAACCCCAACAATTAACACATAATAATAAGGGATGGATTGATAATTGTACAAATGATCTGTATACATAAAACACAAATGTACAGGTATGTTACGGATGTTTTCAGCAACATACAATATTATTCAACATTTTACTTTTGCTATTGATACTTGGATCGATAAACAGCAACATAAAATTTTCTTGTGGGATCACAGGGGACACCAATGTAGAAGATTATATTCTTGGCATACTGCCATTTTTGAAATTTTTTTCACATGTATTTTAAATAAATTACAATGAACGCAGGTCTACTCGTGCATTCCTGCGGAACAGAAGCACACCCCTGAAAGATGATAGCCATGCAAACATGTCACACACGCATGTTTGTTCAATCAGTCTACAAGGTGAGTAAAAAAAAAAACTAAACCCAAATGGCAGAACCAATTTTTGAATGAAGTTTTGCCTGTAAGCACTTTCAAAATCTAGGATACGAAAGCCTAATCAATGAGCTTTCTTTTAGTCAAATTCACATGCATCCCTATGAGAATTGTTTTCGTTTTGCTGAAAGAACACCGACTGTTTTTGTGATCCGTGTACAGAACTTTAAATCAAAAAGTTAGAGAGGCCTGATATATTTCGTCGTTATTTAGCAAAGACTTCTTCAGAGGCAAAACAGAACTTTAAAATGGTGTTTGTGTTCAAAATTCCGTAACTTGGAAAGTTCATGAGTGATTTGAATGATCCTTGTACTAAAAGAAAGCTTAATGACTGGGCTTTTATATCCTAGATTTTGAAAGTGCTACAGGCAAAACTTCATTCAAAAATTGGTCCTGCCATTTGGGTTTTGGTTTTTTGTTTACTCACTCTGTACTGTAAAATACTCTGTAAATTTTGCTTTCTTTCTCTCATTTGGAGTGGAGTTGAAGTGGTCTGAAACACCGCCCAACTTCTGACAATGATGTAAGAATCACATAGCTTGATTGAAACGAGCCACAGCAAGCATGGATTGATTGTACTCAGCAGCTAATCTTTGAGGAGTGTTTTATGTTAATTCATGAACCCTAACTCCCTAGGCATTTTTGCTAGGATGCAACCTCAATTTTGCAAAAACCTCCAACTGCCTCAATGTAAAAATTGCAGACTGCCTCAATCCTGCAAAATCCTCCGTTATTTCTTGAATGGGGTCCTTGGGGAGGTGACCAATGCCTCAATCCTGCAAACTCCTCCAGCAATCACTGTCAATATGTTGAGGCAGAGCCAGTGACATCCTGGAACAGTGCGGAGGATTTCAAGAATAATCTAGGCCTATTTATGGACGACTGAGCATAAAACAACACAAGGTCCGGCCCAAGACCTTGACACATACAGTGCATCCGCCATAATCAGCCACACCTTTTTGCCATTTAGCCTCAATCCTGCAAAACCCTCGATTTTGCAAAGAGGATTTTGGAGGATTTTGGAAGGTTAGGGGTTAACAATGAAAGCACAAGAGGTCTACTGATGTATCCCCGTTGAACAAAAGCACAAACCTCAAACATGGCTGCAGTGCAAACAATCTATACTCGGTCCCAATGACAATGGTGCTCTGATGTCATGGAGGTGTCTGGAAGAAGATACTGCTTACGACATTTCACCGCTAAGCAAAAGTTAGCAATGGATCCAGTTTCAAACTACATAGGTCACACAAGAATTTGCTGCTGCTCGGGAAGTTTCAACAAAAATTTATGAAGTTGGCAGCTCTGTTAAATTGGCCCCAATAAGATTAACAATAATGTTGCAGACGAAAATCCAACATAAACATCGGCAAGGTGACACTGTCCATTGGTGAGTATCAGTCACACACACCAAAATTCCAAATGCTGCAGCTCATGTGTGCCACAAATTAAACAAAACAAAAACACATCCTGTTAGTCTTGGGTGATTGCACATTGGGTCCAGCTTGTCAATATCACAGTGATACCAAGTTACAGAGCGTGCAAGTCTCGCAAGTTCCACGTTCACTTTTCACGTGAAATGTCTGACTACTTTAGTCACAGACTCTCCATGTTAGAAATTACCCAATTGTTTTTATTATGGACATTACTTCGCAATATTTTCAATGTGTTGCCTTGACTGGATAAACACTATAAGGAAATAAAATAAATGAAAAACAAATAGGATGTTCTACACATTGTTGATTTTATACATGGTGCCCAGATTTACTGTATTCCTGTTAAAGCTATAGTCCATCATTTGCAGCCATCCGAAAAAGTAACTGGCGTATTATTGTTGAAAAACATACTTGGTTGAAAGATAGTAAGTGGACTAAACTTTCTGACAAGCTATCATTTTTTGAAGTAATCAACGAAAGAAGGCCTTTCCAACGGTGCGTCTTAAGACACACTGTAGGAAAATTTAAATTAGTAGTTCGTTTTGTTATTCCGCGCAGCGCGCGCAAGCATTGGCACGACGCACAGGCGCGCGCGGTTGCTATAATTTGTCGGATCAGTGCACGACATCGCGTATAGCTGCAATTCAAACATGATTCAGCAACTTTTGATTTGAAATTGAGATCCTAGAATGCTATTTTTCTCGGAATATACAGCTGAAGCTGAGCTGAAACTTCATCAGGTTAGTTGTTCAGTATCCTTCATTAGATTTTGAACACTTTTGTTGCTTCAAACGAACAAAATGCACAAATTACAAATGATGGACTATATCTTTAAATCTCGCAGGTGTTTTTTTTTATGTCAACTTGCATGCCCTATCCAAGTATGCAACATGCACAGTACCGGCTACATCCACAGTTAAAAGCTGTTCACGTCGGGCCGACCTGAAAATTACAACATCAAGTTAAGCCCAGCCCATTTTCTGGAAACGTTCTCCTGACGACTCATTTCTCGTGCAGAACTCTAAGAAATGGATGTCTCCCAAAAAACACTCTTCACTTGAAGCAACAACAGACAAAAATTCACACTGTCTTATGTTTGCTGAGGACCATACAAGCGTGGAAATGTGGATTCAATTTATCCTAACACCGTCAAGTGTACGCCAAGATTTCTCAATGCTTCTAAAAGCACTCTACTAACAGTTGACTTGAATGTCTAAATTTTCTCTGCTTTTGTGGCATTAACACGAAGCATGAACCATTCGTTGCTTCCATTTAATGAGCTGACTGGAGGGGTTGGTGTAGCAATTGCGCCGATCATAGCATCTGGTTCTCCACTGGGTGTAGCAGGGCCATGTGCTCCGCGCCTTTGATGTTGAGCTTGTGTGTGGTGTAGTAGTGGATCATGTGTGGGATTCCTGCAAACGGTTTACTGAACTCCCCCAGGACGTAGCCCTGGGAATAGCAGACGATCTTCATGTGCATGAAACCTTTAGCACTCCTGTAAGCAAAAACAGTCAAGAACAATCACTAGTTATAGAATGTTAATAACATCGGAGTCTTATATAGCGCACATATCTACCAACAATTAGGTACTCAAGGCGCTGGAAATTATGTCTATTATTAAAGAAAGGTAAATAAAGTTTATGAGAAATATGAGACCCATTATGTAGAACCTTATAATGGTTTACAAGGTACTGCGGTGCATATTGCAGCCACTGCCAGAAACACCGGGGCAAACCCCTTCTCTTAGTGATAAGTGTTACTGGGTTCTTTAACGTGCATTACACAACACACGGGACCTACGGCTTTACGTCCCATCCGAAGGACGAAGCAATAATGGTAAAGTGCCTTGCTCAAGAGCACAAGCATCATGTTCCCACGGTCAGGATTCGAACCCATGTACCACGGCACACGAGTCGAACACCGTAACCATTGGACCACAGCACCCCATGTTGACAGTACTGAGGCCAACAGGGGCATTACTTGTGAGAAGTATTATCCCCGGTTCAGACAGGCGTTCCAGAGTCACGCCGAATCAAATTAAAGTCAAGATTTGAATTAAATACACGAAAACTCCGACGTCTGAAACAATTAGGAGTGACTAGACGAGCTAGATGGCAAAGATCGATGGTAGGAGTCGTTCAGAATGACTCAAGAGCGACTTGGTTTCAGACGTCGCTTTAGTCATGAGCCAAACTCATTGTGAATGTTGCAAATGTATGTAAATATATGTAAATAAGTAGTGACTATACACCATATCCAACAATCCACCAATAGAAACTAACATTTGTGAATTTTTAGAGCGCACCATTTGTAACGGTGTGATAGCAGCATGAGGGCGGCCAAGAAGCAGAGGTTGAGTTTTCTTTTCCTCCTTTCGGCCATAATTCGGAATAGGATATGTCTGTTGACCTTTATAGGTCAGAAATTGCTCAGGAAATACAGTGTCAGATACAATGCCGGCCTGTTGCAAAGATCGTGTGCTCTTTGGTTGCACACAATCCCCAGTGTTTTAAGTTCGACTATCTGAAACCAGAAATCTATTTGGGCTTGACTCAGTTCACTCCTTATCTATTTGGTTCCGCGCCACTATGGAACACCAGTCTGAACCAGGGGTCACATATGTGACATATTTCATAAGATCATTGTACAACCACTGAAAAGACTCTGCAGAGTACATGTATATCACACATTTACATGTACCCTCTTTTATTATTCTCATAGACTTTCAAATATAAGAGTGCCGTGGCCTCATGGTCTGGAGCATTGAATTCATGGTCTGCAGGTAATTCTGCAGGTTGTGGGTTGGAGTCCAGCCTGCGGCTATGGTGCGTGTGCCCTTGGGCAAGGCACTTTGTCACTCATTGCTTCTCCCCACCCAGGAGTAAATGGGTACCTGTGAGGGCAGAGGTGGTTATTATGGTTTATTTTGCTTCGCGCCGAAAGGCAGCATCGAGCTGTATACTCCGACGGAGCGGAGATGGTATTTGGAATGTTTCATTGGCCCAATTAGCAGGGTAATAATGATGAAGCGCGTTGAAACCTTGTAGGTATAAAGCGCTATATAAGCACCACATCTTATTAATATTATTATAATTCCATGGTAACTTGTGTTACATTTAACAGGTTCATTTTGTCAACTCTGTGCTGTTATTCTCTGAATTCAAAGCATTTAGGGTGGATTTGTCTCACAGAAGTTATGCACTAAGGTTTTTATGGGTAACTCGCGTTACAAAAAAAAGGACATTATTACATTGTAATAATTGTTTTGAAAATTTCCTCCAACTGTGCACTGTTGGAAAAATCTTTTCAGTGTCCTTACACCATTAGGATGTAAGTCACTTGCAACCATAACAAGTAAGTTTTCAACTAATTTTGTGTTGAAACAGAAGTACATTTTCATTAAACTAAAAGATTAAACTAATCAGTTTATCTCTTAAAATCATACATAATCTGTGGGGGAGGTGTTATAATACAAATATTGACTGTTCTATCTCAGGGTGTAGTAAAACTATCCTCCCTCGGTGATCCATAGACATGTTCCATTTCCCTCGGAAATCAATATTTGTATAATATTTGTTTCCAATAATGACTTATTCTAAAATTATCTTTATTACTTTCTCTGATAGAATCAACATTGTTCTTAAAACAATACCATTGTACAACAAAACAATTTTGAGTTGTGATATGGTCCATGGTGTTTTTTTAACATCCTCTGGGGTACAATGGCAGCCCCAGGTGTGCAAAACACCATGAACCACATCATAACAAATCCTAAAATGGCCTAAATGTACTTAACGCAGAATTGTGTACTCACTTGAGTGATAGGGAATAATCTTTCTGTGCACTTTCACTCTGCCTGACCAGATAGCTGCATTCCTTGCACGGCTTCAAGAGCTTCTCTGCTTCTATTCTGGACAACTTGCCATGGTAGAAACTGTTGGGATTCAAACAAAGGAGAACATTATAACAGGGATGCCCGTGGCTTTTTGCACCAGGGCCGGAATACACCATACATAATCACAACACAATACTATTGATACTTTTTTGATTGACAACTAAGCTTGAAATACCAGCTTGCAAAAATCAAAAATAAAGCCCAGTGTACCCCTTTCCGATTTTACCGTTTCACCGGACCAGACACCAGACGGTCAGATTGGTCCAAAATTTCAGCGCACACCTCGGAACGAAGGCCCGATGATTCGGTGAACCGGTAAAATCAGAAAGGTGTGCACCGGGCTTAAGTAGTGTTGAGTGCACTGTCTGAGACTCTAGCTTTTCACTAAATCCCTAGCAAAATTTTACTGAGCTGCAAAACAGGAGATACTGCTAGGCAAACTTCTATGCTAAGCATGAATCAGCTGGGTACCAGTCTCAAACATAACACACTGCATGGGATGTTGGCCGGTGACCTGTTTTGCTGAGCAACTAACTTCTCTACTTAGCAGCTCCATGGAACTGGCCCCTGGTATTCAAGGCATATAGGATCATTTGCATTTTATGCATTTTGTTCGTTTCCAAGAACAACACCACTCAAAATCTACAGAAAAATGTTCAAAACCTTAAGTTTCAGCTTGGTGGATATTTATAAGATGGAATTTGCGTCGGGGTGATGTAAATCATTCTCAGGTTTTGCTCTTCATTGACGTATAGACACTGTATACTCCGTGTGTTACCACCCGAGTGAAAGTTGGAAAAAAATCACTTGGGTGGGACTCGAACCCATGACTGCCTGCTTTCTAGTGCAGACGTTTTACCACACAACCACCGAGCTTGCGGGATCGGTTGGCTGGTTCGAACGGTGAATATTACACTCTTTGAGAAAACAGTAAAAACCATGCATCTTTTGATCACGAAACACGATTTGGTCCGTACCACTTCTTTTTTTCATTCCTATGATCAGTCAATTGACTGATTGTTGGAAATTGCCAACATTTCTTGATTTCTTCTTTAATGACAGCAAGACAGATGGAATAATTTCACGGGGTGTTTAGTGCCAGTACCATCTTTAATCCAAGTAAGCCTTTTGATAATAATTGAGTAGGCTACTTTTGGGATCAAAGTAAATGATCCTATATGCCTTTAACCCACTCCACTCAGGAATAACCTTTGCTGATCTAGGCTCATGTTGGGATCGATCTTCTCTCCCTGCACTTCGTGCTTGCGTCTCAGCTCCAGCTTCAGGTCCTTGGCCATGTTGGAGGGTTTCTTTGGGGAGTTCCTTCTGGAGTTATCGGGCGTGGATGCTCCTGACCTAGACACAGCGTTCTTCTTCTCTTTCTCTGAGAGAGTTACCAAAATAAACTACAATGTAAGCTTTACCCTTCATTCTACTTTTTGTAGTTAATCTTCATGCACTTTGAAAAAAAAAATTGGCTAGCATGTTATGGAGATCAGGATAACACACTGAGGCCACGTCCAAACTACTAGACTACTGCTAGCAATTATACAAGCAGCCTATGGAAGCACGGATCCTCTACACCAGGATAAATGACTTACCCCAAATTTCTGGTAAGAGGCGTAGTATGGCATTTGCACGTGGTAAGTGCGTGTGCGCGAGACTTGGCATGCGACTGCAGTCTTTCAGTGGTCAAATTTCTGTCAGGACGGCATCTGTGGGCTATCATGGCGCGCGCACATTGTTCTACATGTTCTATGCATTGTTCTATGCGCAGACGCGGCATATCACGCATAAACCGGTAGACAAACCGTTCCATACATTTTGTACACAAGCTCAGGTGAGTCGTTTATCCTTGCGTAGAGGATCCGTGATGGAAGCAACTGAGACAACATCCCATAGACATGTGCGTTACTACTGCCAGCAACAGCCAATGGTGCATTCCAAACCCCGGACTTGTGATGAATGAACACGAAAACAGGGTTTCGAACGATGAAAACCAACACGCGAATGGTGTTTGCGAACAGGATTTTCACTCCCCAGTAATTGGGGAGAAGATGAAGAGCACCAAGAACAAAGATGGCAGACTTAAGCCCTACCAATAAATTTTGAAAAAATACCTGATCATAGAGTTGAGTGGTGTGGGTTTGTCTTTGCCAGTTGTTATAGCTGTTCTGGGATTTAAATTATTTTTGCAAGATCATTAGTTTCCCTTCTTTTCATTCGGCATTTTAATAATTATGGTGGCTGCCATCTTCAATTTTCGCCCAGCTCCACTCCACACGCACTTGGGCATTCGTAATCGGCAACCCGAAAACTCTGTTCGCAGGTCACTTGAGAACAGGGATGTGAATACACCCCAAGGTATAAGACTGTCACTGGCTTTCACCGACATAAATGGCGACCAGTATTCTACAATCTAGGCCTTATTTCATGACGCTAGAATCTTAGCTTTAAAACATATGTAAAAAAACTAGGTACCTACATTTAGAGCAGAAAATTCGGTAAGCATAGCGCATGGGTGAGGAACAACTTTGGGTTGGTGCACATTCTAGCAGCTAAGTATTCTGTGATTTACAGGGTTAGGGCAAAATTTCGCTGTTAGTGCTGTAAGCACAGAATGGTGATAACGGGTAAGGGCAGGATTCCACTGTTAGCAAAGCTGTGAAGTTTTCACCCTAATGCACAATATGGATTGTGATGTGAGTGTCTGACTCAGTATTTAGGGGTTTTTCTCCTCAGCAATAAAATAGGGTCTTCTGCCCAGCTTTGAGTGACATTTTCCTTCACTAGGTATCTTCTGTTCTTGGTTACATAGTAGTTGTAATGAAATCATCCGCAGAAATAAATGAACAGTACCTTTTTTTTTAATCAAAATGTAAGGAAATTAAAGCCTACCAGTATTTTTAAACTGACTTGTTTTAACGTAATCAAGTTACCTGTATCTCAATACAGATGGTTTGAGAAAGTACATTAATAACTGATTGTTACTGTATTGCAATAATTATGATTATAACACCTCACCCACAGATTCTTTGTCTTGATTGGCCGAGAGCGAGTGACATGATACTTTCTATTTTTGCTATCTTTCTGTGCACCGCCAAAAGTACTATACCCGTAGCAACCAAAGTACTATACCATTAGCAACCAAAGTACTTTTTTCACATTGCGGTATTTGTGTGCAAATGCATGCTGGTGTGCGCGTTGCGCGTTGCACGCAGCGCGTTTTGTTCCAGAGCGTGCCGCAGAGTTGGATTCAAACAATTTGCGAAGGGGTAGTTTGGAAGAGAGAAATACATTCTCCTCCAGTTTTGCATTGAAATTGAAGCAGAATCTGTGGGTGAAGTGTTATAAAACAAATATTGAATGCTTTATCTCGTGGTGAAGTAAAACTAGCCTCCCTCGGTGATCCATGGAGCATTCTATTTTCCCTCGGCGAATAGAATGTCCATGGATCACCTTGGGAGGCTAGTTTTACTACACCACTCGAAGCATTCAATATTTGTATATCAGTACATTTATAGCACAGGCATTGTCACAAACAAACTAGGAAAACTACAGACAAAGTTACACAATGTATGACAGTAGTTTACATTTTGATGAACCAGCTGTTGATGTCATGCAGCATGCATCCCTTTCTGGTTGTGAACATGCATCTACATGTACCTGTACTTTCCAGACAATTTGTCCAGAGTATAAGTATTAAACTTTCTCCATGCAATTCAAAAAACTTCCGAAACTTTTGCCCAAGCATCAACATCAATGAGCATTTCCATGGACAGTGGGTAGTACAAAGCAAACTTTTCCAAATGTCCAGCACCCGCCATACAAACGCCACGCTATGAGATATCATACGTGCTGCACTAAAACTCAATGACTTTCTGTGATTTTTTGCATGCTGCTCGCTGCACGTTATCAACAGAGGGCGCCCCGAATGCAAACCATGGTCACTACGTCTCTCTACCCCCACCTGTCAAGACCTGCGACATTTGCCTATTCTTCTGTATCCATTCCCAGGGCTGGTCATAATCGTCCTGTGGCCGGGTATCGCTCTCGGGACTACTCCGGCCAATCCCGCCCAGGTGGGCGACATCCGACTTACTCCGCGACCGGTTAAACTCACCGCCTGGAGACTCTGGCGGTAGCCGGGGCAGAGGGTGGGACCGCCACTCCCAGGGGTTGTCATACTCGCCCTGCGGCCTCATGTCGTTCTGCGGCGTCTGGTCTGGGGCTGGGGACAGCATGGGACCATCCGTGCCGTTCTCCTCAGGATCTCTAGCGGCGGCTTTCTCCTGCCCCGTATTGATGGTCATCTCCTCCCAGTGTTGGGATTCCTCAGGAGTCTCACCTGCCGACGTCCTCCGCGTGATCTCACTGACGTCTGGCGGCTCCTCGTACTGGTGCTGGAGCTGTTTCTTGGAGTTGGTAGGAGGTTGCTTTTTAATATCTGGAAAAAAAACAGGGCAGAAGCTGCTTATTAAACATACGATACCTAGCCTCATTGGCATGATGGAAAACTGAAGTTGATATGGAGTGACACCTGCGGTAAGAACTGGTTGTCTAAAAATGACCACTGTACATGTAAATGTACATGTACAAGGCGCGAGGAACATTAATTTGCCATGCACACTTGTAGTACTACCAAATGGGTCATTCTATCAAGGGTCCCTTTTCCCCGTGTCCCTGTTACATGATCTATATGATTTCATAATTCTGCATGCACTCCTCAATGTATTTTCCATCCAAAAGCTATTATGACGCAAATGACCTACACAACAATTCAAAATTAGTTCAAAGTCTTTTTTAATGACACTTGAAAGGCAAATTACATATTTCAGAGGTAACGAGGACAGGGAAAAGGTCACAATTCTGACCCTAAATTCATTGAACGACGAAAATACAATGTAGGCTCACCTTTATGCACATGACTGTTATACTACATGTTTCTAGAACTAAGTAAACTTTTCTGTGTAACCTTATCTTGCTACTTCCTTTTTTCTAAATAATTTCTACCTTCACTTCTTTGTCTTTTTGTTTGTACAAAGAGTACGTTATTTTTTTTAATCTTGGAATGAAAACAAGTATGGAGATTAAACCCCGCTTGAACAATAGGATGTGGAGAATATAAAGGACAAGTGAAAGAAACAGACAGACTCAAGCTGAAACTGAAAGAAACTGAAATCATGTGGTCACAAAAAAATGAGAAATAACAAATTTGCCATTGTGAATAGGAATTCCCCATATGTACTGTACAGTAGTGTACCGATATGTACATGAGAAACTGATACATCCTGTTACAGCTAAGGCAAGAACTTTTAACAATCACTCACCGGCAACAATAGGGTGTCAAGACCCCAGATATATGGAAGTCTTTTTAATGCCAACAGGAAGTGATGAATTCACACCCCAATAAACTAGAGGATCAACAAGTGAGCCTTTTCATGTACATGTGCACACGAACCCTACTAACTGGTATACTTTCAAGTCTGTAATAAACCTTATTATTAAACGGTACATACATGTGCATAAGATCATTTGCTTTTTGCGCATTTAATTTTTATTTAAAACAACAGTTGCATAAGTTAGCAAAGATCCAAAAGCAACAAGATGTTATTAAGTGTTATTGATTTACCCAGATGTATTTTTTTCCCCATTATTATCACTGAGAGTGGCAAATACATGTGGGCTAAAAACAATGATGAAAGATTTCATAATCTTTTTTAATTTCTCCAGTTGTTCAATTATATTTGGGGAATCTCTTTTACAAACTGTTTACACTGTGAACACTTCACCAGGGAGAACAACACATTTCATGTTATATCCAATGAAAAGGTGGGGAAAAAACACTGAAGTAGTGAATAAAACAGACATTTTTTGGGATGTTAGATGTGCCGGTGTGACCCCCATTGGCCACTGATTAAACAGACACATATGCATGCATGCAGCTCATTAACTACACGATTCTTAACATGCATGTATACAAGTATATAAATTGGAATAAAACATCTGCAAAGCCAATGAAAATTTGATCGCAGGTCAAACATACATTTTCCACATACACGTATGTTAGGTGCACAACTGAACTCACAATTATGTACTGATTTTACATTGGGTCATTCTACAAATTTTGGGTCCGCTAATCCACTTTATCCAGGGTCTGCTAATCCACTTTATCAAGGGTCCGCTAATCCACCTTCTGTGTTATATCTGAAATACATGTGCATGTATGACTTTTGTAAATTCTGAATTTTACAAATTCTTAATTCCTATCCAACAAATAACAAATTAGTTTGAAGTCATATTTGATGAAACTTAAACAGCAACTTGAAAAGTACAGAAGTAACTGTTCTCAAAGTTTGTACAGACCACTTGCATATTGAGCCACATTCAGTTGCTGCACACACTGCTAAGGTTCTTTGTTTTCATGCAGGAGGATGCAATATGCACACAATGCTTCAGAAACTCTTTTATATCTTCATCAACATGTTGGAATTTTGAATTCGAGAAATATCTTGCTTGGCAATGCACTCGGTTGTGTAACAGCATGCAAATATGCACACATATACAGTACGTGTACATGACAAGGATCTACATATACATGTACATGGGTCTTTCTATAAATTTTGAGGGTTCAGCAATATGCAACATTTTTCCAGTCTAATGTTACATTGGTACTTTGTACTTTTCAATTCAAGTGCCATCAAGAATGACTGTAAACATGTTTTATCTGTTGGGCAGGTAATTTGCTATTAATAAATCACTCCTGGATCAGACTTATATACAAATTAAAAGAAGTCAGATGTAACAAGCAAAGGACAAAGTCAGACCCCAAATTTATAGAATGATCCAAATATGGGTACATGTACACACCACGTGACAATATTTCTAATATGGCAGATAGGTGATGGGATTGTGCCTTTGATGATACAAGCATGGCATTTGACACACAGTCAGAGCATGCATGGAGCTAAAAGTATGTCATGAGACAGATATTTGGTGACAAGGCCTTTGCAGATTTGTCCTTCGAAAAATTAAAGGTAGAATAATAAGCAATGGCAGCCATTTTGAAAACTTTGAAAATTGCTTGTTATTCTACCTATATTTTTTCAAAGGACAAATCTACAATTGCCCTATAACCAAATATCTCTCTCATGACATACCCTGACCATGTGCCAAATGCCATGCTTGTATCATCAAAGGCACAATTCCCCCAAATATTTCCCCTATCTGCAGTGCCCCACTATAAGTTACAGTACATGCAGCATCATGTTAAAAAAAAGGACTTGAAAAGTCAATTCTCCTGAACAGCAGACTGGAGCCAAACAGACACAAAAGCTCCTAAATGAAATGGGAAGCGGATGCCTGTGTGGTTTCCTGTTGACTTGCATGATGGTTGTATAGTCAACTAAACTACAACCACAATCCTACACATCAAGGACACAACGCAAAACATGCAGCAACAACTGACCATTACACTGTGTGATTGGCCAATGCATTATGCTTGGGCAATTCTTAACAATTTTTTTTTTTAAATCTATTTGGATTAATCATGAAGTCATGATCCTGTTTGGAGTTGATTGCAAAATCCCTTCCCCCCCCTCCCAAAAAAAAGCATTAATGAAGATAAACGTCCAATATATCTTTGTAAGAAGTGAATCATTAATGATGCATACATGCTTGTGGTCTGCATGAAAATGACAAGGTTTCAGTTAGCGGGACATATGTAGCACTTGCTGTTACAACCTGTACAGGTGTCATGAAATGTTATCCTAATGAGCAATAGCGGTTGGTTTCGACATGACTGTGGAATGCCGACACAGGTCATGAATACATGTGAGACTCAGGTTGGGATCTGCAAACCATATTTTCAGTCGTTACTTGGTTTCGTGAGGGCAAAAATGGATTTAAGGCAATCTGCGATTGAAATTTGCAAACATGAAAATAGTGAGAGACTCCTTTGGGCACTTGTAATTTTGTATGTTTCATGTCAAGATCATTGAATAGTGTGAAGTATGATAACTGCAAGCAGTTTGCTGCCACTTGATGACAATGTTGATTGCAAATGTGCTAGGTGCCCCATGTAAATAGCAGAATGAAATATGCATATATGCAATTAAAGTATTACATGTCATTTGGTTACAAAGGCATCTGCCATGTGCAAAATACAAATGCATGCATAAATTATGCGACCATCTTGATATGGAATACGCATGATGCAGACTGCTTGGTACATGTACAAACATGTACAAGAAATAAGGATCATGCATCATATCTAAGCAATTACCATCCAAACCATTCAGGTGTAAACTGCACGGCATGCAATATTTCACCTCCACGCTCATTAATATATGCATATCACATGCAAATTTTGAAAGTACATGATATATGCCAACCAGAGGCCAATCTTAAGAAGCTGCAGTTGGCAGAAAAGCTGTGCTACATTTACAGTGTAACTACGGCAAAAAGTTCAACCTTCATTTTGATTTCAAGGCCCCACCTTGCAAAAACTACACAGTGCTTCTTTCAGAGGACAATATTTGTTCATTATTCATCATGAGATTCTGCTTCAAGACTTGTATGCTCTTTGTTGTGCCTACTGCTTAACCTTCACTCCCTACTGTCTTTTACTAAGTAATGGACCAAGTCCACCAAAATCCATTAATCACACTGCTTCCCATGCATGCTTAGCTTTTGGCCTCCAGGCCCAAGTCCATCATATTCCATCAATATTTAGTCAAACCAGGCCTGCAGGACCAAGTCCCCCAAAATCCACCAAAATGATGGGGTGGATTTTGATGGAGTTGGGGAGGTTAGGGTTAATTTCTCCACAAAGTTAGCCACAGTGCTACTTCAGCAGAATATCCTGCGCTCCGTAGCGGGCATGAAATTGTCTTTTCTTGCTTTATTCACAATTTGAGACACCTAGCAGCTGTCTATCAAGAGCTTCCGATCATTGAAGTTAAGCTGTTCCTTTCAGCACTGCAGATTACCCATGACCACTTTCATGTTGCACGCTAACCAATTTCATGGTGCCACTAAACACAAGATGTTTTTGCAAATTGAAGCAAACTTTGTCTGTTTTTCGCTGGGACTGTAAGCAGTCAGTTCAGCAAAGAGAACTTTCTTACAACATGAAATTTTACTTTTAAGAGAGCAACAGCGATGGCTTTGTCTATGGCTTTGGCTATGGTTTTGGCTTCACCTCTGGCTCCAGAATCCTTAGCCAACTTGAATCTTTATAACAAGTGGCATTACTCTGAGCTTTGACATCATATGTGGTGCTTATATAGCACTTTCATACCAAAAGTCTCAAAGCGCTTCACAATTATTATCCCATGTTCATCAGGCAATGAGACCAGTTTTTGCAGCAGCTCGAGATCAGCGCATTCTGGTCTCTACCCTTCACAATCACAGGTACCCATTTATACCTCTGGGTGGAGAGAGGCAATTGCAGTCAAGTGTCTTGCCCAAGAAAACAAGCCCCATGTTCCCCATCAGGATTCGAACCCACGTACCATATGGCACATGAGTCGAACACAAGAACCATTCAAGTACAGCACTTAATCAGAAAACTGGAATGACATTTGAGAAAGAGCCCCCCCCAAAAAAAAAAAAAAGTGAGGAGCAAAAGACCAGAGGCTGGGAGTCTGAAACCAAAGCTGGAGCCAAATCTGAAGAATGATTGCTATGGGATGTATAAATGGGATGCATTTTGGGTCATTCTATAAATCTAGTGTCAGAAGTGTGACATTTTCCCTGTTCCTGTTACCTTGGTACTTTGTAATTTGCTATTCATTAAGAATTACTTTTTTTTTATATGTTGGGTAGGGAGTTTGCCATTCACAATCACTCTTGGGGGAAGACTGCATTAAGGAGTGCATGGGACTTATATATGTCAGATGTGCATGTAACAGGGACAGGAAAAAGTGGACCCCAAATTTATAAAATGACCCATGTAGCTATAGGGTGAATGCTAATTTACATCCTCAACATGTTGGCATGCACCTAATATTTTCCAAGAGACATGACATGCAATCCCAGAGCCCGATACTTACGTTTGATCACATCATACGGTAAAGAATAGTCATCCTCCGGGATGGCCATTCGATTAGGGTCCCATCCTTCCTCCGTGATATGATGCTTCGTTTCTACGGCAACGCATTAGTGTGCAAGCAAGGAAGATGAACAACGCAAGAAGTGAGAAGTTAGATGTCAGTACAGTCAGTTGGGCCACTTAATAAGAAACTGAGTGAATGGGTTAATGATTGGCAGGGCCTCTTCAATCCCGATCTAAATACTTCAATCCCGAAGACACATTTGACTGCCGCATCTGAGACCTTTCAAATGGCAGTCAAATTTAAAACCGGTTCAACATGAGGAGGACAAGGGTTGTTCGCCATCCAAATCCCTTCATCCCTTTTAGGAATCGCATTGGCGTACTGTACTTTCCTCGTCTTCCACCAATGTGACCCGGGTTCGAATCCCGCCTGGGCCAATACGTGGATTTGGTTTTCAGTCCATACCTGATTTTGTGGGTTTTCCCTAAAATATAATTCTGGGGTTTTCCTCCCACCACTAAAACTGTAAATGTGTAATTTCCGTCCACATCTTCTACCGAGGGACCCCACTGGAAATAAGTCAATATTATTTTTCAGAGAAGTCATTTCATTTTCTTTTATTAACATAGTCATTTGTTCCATCTTACAAAGAAAACATCTGCTTTAGTTTTGATCAATCATGTGAGGGAACATTCCAGTTTTTTTTTAAATTCCAGCAGAATCAGGCAACAAGATTGGAAATCATAACAGAGCAATATTTGATATAACATGCAGAAAAGAGACACAATTTCAATTCAGAACTTGAGTCTAAAAACTAGACAGTTTCTGTGTCAGAGTGTCAAACAAGAATTAAGCCTGCTCTTATATTGTTGAGACTAATCTCAGATCAAATACAACAAAGTCCCAAGTTGATTGAATCCGTTTTTTCTAAACCGTCTGGGAATTATTCATCGAACATTCCCAACTTGACTTTATTTTGAGAGTGTGTCTCACGCAACTTACTTTTGACTAGATCATAGGGCAAGCTATAATCATCGTCTGCGTAGGGCTGGTTTGGGATTGGGCCATCGTCTGGCAAGAAGCCAGATCGCATCTCTTGAGAAGGCAAGGCAATATCCATGAGGCAAGGCAAGGTCCATGAGGAAATGGGGAGCAGAGATTAGTTGATGAACAGGTCAGTGATGGTTAACAGCAAACAGCATTGATATTAATGGCAAACAAATTAATCTGGTGTTACATGTACAAAATACGTAGCGGGGTGCTTTCTAAGCAGAGACAGTTTAAAGACCATCTTGCTTACATGTAGCACTTTTTTTTAACAATCCTACTTGTAGAAGAATAAGGAGGAATTTCAGTGGAAAAATTGCACTGCAGACATTGATAAGTAGCTACTGAAATGTTGCATACATAAACAAATGTGTGAAAGGTGGAGATGCAGAAGCAGAGCTGTAACTATGGCAAAGATTCTAAGAAAGATTAGTTGCTAAGGACAAGTTGTAATGAAAATGACAAGGAGGATTTCAGCAAGGCAATAAGGTGTTTTAAATTGCTTCAATGTTATAACATGTTAAATGCAAAAGGACAAGAATAGTCGAAGACGTGTGTTTTGAAGTCTTTTATTGTTAAGCAAAGAAAATTCCCCAAAATAAAAATGAAGACAATCATCTCCACGTGTGCCTTGTACTTTTTTGCATGTGCACCCTTCACGTGCCAAAAATACGCCACTGGTGCTCAAAAATAGCAATGGAAACTAAGTAATTGGTTAATCACCAAGAGGGAATCCTTGACACACATGTAGAGCTATATTAACGCACCGGTGGTAAGGGCCCCAATAATCAATTTCCTGATCTGGTTGTCGAAACTAAACCGACAAATTGACGGTAAGGTGACAGCGCGCCTGATGGAGAACTGTCAACTTACGTTTGACAATTTCGTAGGGGACCGAGTAGTCGTCCTCAGCGAAGGGTCTGTTGGGGTTGGGCCCCTCGGTTCGGGGCGGGAGAATGCCGCTCTCGAGGGCCGCTTTCAGGACATCTTTGGGATCACAGTAGTCATCCAAAACAATGGGCTGCAGAAAGGATAGAACACAAACAAATGGATATAAATGTAATTTAATTTAATCTTGCTGAGAATTTTAAAGTGACATCTGACAGTGGAATTGTCTAAGTGTTAACTCAGTAACACTCACTACTAAAATAAAATTCAGTGTTGATGGACTTTAAAATGTATTTTGAAATGAAGGGAGGAGCTTCAACAAATACATTGTATTTGAGTGGCCTGAAATTTCAAATTTGCAATGGACATTTTTACTATGAAATTCGTAATCTTTCTAGGCTACAAACATTCGGGTCATTTTTCTCTCAATATCTCCAGGATTTGCCACTTTTTTCTTTTAAAAGCCCCTCTTAATCACCATTATAGGCATTAGTTTCCGACCTAAGTGGGTTTTTTGGGGCACAAAACTCAAAACTGCCACAGCCTGTGATTCAGCCCACGGTTCAGCCCGGTGCAATTCAACAGCACAATTCAACCTTAAACATTGTGGATGGTACCCCAAAGCTCACAGTTAATATTTGTTCATGCGTGTGGAAAGGAGCCCAGCTGATTTCCTTTGACTCATGCGCACAGGACGAAAGCAAATTTTTCAGTATTTAGTCCAAGCCCAAAAAAAACCACTTAGGCAAGAAAGTAATGCATGTAAAGTACCGTATAATGCCGATTTTAAGATTTATGGGGCTTTTCTACTGAAAAAGTGACAAATCTTGGAGAAATTAAGATAAAATGACCTGAATGTTTGTACCCTGTACCTTTTCAATGGCCCGCTATCACTTTTTGCAGCCAGGCCCATTTATGTGTATGCATGCATAATTTTGAAAAAGGCCCATATGTTTAACTTCACTTACAATAAAAAGTTGTCAATAAAACTCAATATCACATTGTATATTTTCAATGAGCTTATTTCTATGCATTGTTGTACATGTCCTTTGTGTACAAGTCAAAGGGTTTGTGGCAGTCACATGTAATACATAGGAAGTAATTACTGACACCGTCAATACTAGAAATAACAGGCCGAGCATTTCCTTGTACAGCTAGCCATAGCCCCAAGCATTTGAGTCCATGTAACATCCTGTGCCTGTCTCTTCTCACTACTGTCTCATAATGATGCCAGTGCAATGATAGAAACCTCCTGAAAATCATGCCTGCATTACGTACATGTACATCAACCTTCCATTATCCTTCAACTGGTACAGGACTTTGCCCATCACTACTGGGCCCAATTTCACGGCGCTGCTAAGCACAAAAATTTGCTTAGCACAAAAATAGTCAGGCTTATAAAGCAGGTTACCAGTCAAAACTCCACGTGATGTATATTGCTCGTGATTAGTATTCAGCTGTTGTTTGCTTAGCATGAAAATCACATGGAGTTTTGGCTAGTAACCTGCTTTTATAAGCCAGACTTTTTTTGAGCTAAGCAAGTTTTTGTGCTTAGCAGCGGGGTGAAATTGGGCCCAGGTCTCAAAATCAGACATCAGGACCAAGAATGATGATTTGTCTCCATAAGTGCTACATAAATGTACAGTACTTTGAAAGGCAAAAGTGCACACAGCACATATTATGAAAAAATGTACATAAAGTATACAGTTTAATACTCTTTCTATCGATGCTCCTGTCTCAAGGTTTGTGTGAATGCAGATATTGTAAGGGAAGGCTTTCCAGTCATGAAATTTCCCTGGACAACAAAACATGATTAATTCTTGATGTTCATTAAAGGGAATGTACATCATTGGCTTTTGCTGTTATTTTTCAAAAATGAACTATTTGAGGGGTTAGTATAATAGATCAAATATTTTTACACTGACATGTTTGAAGTTTTGTGTTAGAAGATGCTGGAAAAGCCAAGAAAAACAAAAACGTTCAAGTAGTCTGGTTCCCTGACTCCACTAAGGATGAAATGGATCAATTTATAGATGCCGGAAAATTGTTAGGTCAGGGAACAAGTCTAGCTGGCCTGCACCCGTTCATGAACATGTAACCAATAGCAAACAAAATGTTGACTGAACAAAATGGTAAATTTGGAGCAGTAGTTGAAAAATAGTTAGGTTTTTCCAATGGTGGTCGGCCGACCACCGTTGGAAATTGATACAAAAATACCATTTTCTTGAAAATGACTTCACACCAAGTGCCATAATTTTACAGGATGCTTTAGACTGTCATTAACCAACATCCTAGTGAGGTATTTCGTAAAAACTTGGTAGTTTTATTTGTCGATGTTTGCAAATGTTGTATATATATATTCCCTTTAAAGCAACTGGGGATGGGGAGATGTCTCAACATGTATATTGTGCCCACCCCCTTTTATTAGCAATCGTGTACCGGTTGTTACAGCCTCTCTTTAGTTGATCAAATTAGAGTCAGGGGTGTTTTTTCATCATTCACAACTGACCTTTTTAACCTAAAGAAGAACTCTCTCAATTCTAACAAACCCCTTTTATTTTTTTTGTAATTTGAACATTTTTGGGGGTAGAAATTGCAATTTTCGTCAGTGGTTTACGGTTGGTGCCATGCAATTCAGCGTGGTATTGCGCATGAACTCACAGTACATCGCGGTTATCGCCATCTTTAATTTCTTGTTGCGTTTTGTCGTTAAAAAACAAGGCGCGCATGCATCCTATTGGTCAAAGGAGCCCAGAGTCAGTGCGTACTCCCCGAGCGCGCCTCACGCGAGCCTTGTGCCACTCAGAAAATGGCTGCCACCGGATCTGTAGATACACCGTTGGAACAAAAGCACACACCTCAAAGATGGCTCCAGTGCAAAGGGTCTATTATGTGAACATGAATGTGTACACAACTACACGGATGTTTATTTAAAAACTGTTGTGCAAATGGATAGATCTCTTTATTTTTATGTACGTGAGAACCTCTTTCATACTGAGTCCAACAGGGCAATATTGCTCTAGAATTCTGCAGATCCGAACCGTGAACAAAGCTAAGGACACATTTTAATTATCTCAAGTGCACAACTAATCAATTTTGATGGATTCAGACTGCCAAGACTAACACGTGGATGCTGTGTGTGTTAAAACAATTCCATGCACACGTACATTTTAAGAACATTTAAATCCAAAGGTATAATGTACGTGTTGGAACAAAATGCATACATTGTACGTGTTTCATGTACGTCTCACCATGGAGGTAATTCTACCTCCATGGTCCCACATATGAACATGTACATGTACGTGGTACAGGTACCCCTACATCTTCTTTGTTTTCAATTCAGTAAAATGAACGCACTTGAGGTTTAATCATGTTTATCCCAGCTCTACAAAACCCTTTGCAGGGAAACTCCACCTTCATGCATAAGGTCTATCCTGTACCAGTGCATTTTATGAAATCTATTGCAGTGCACTTTCCATAACAAAGCCTGCACATACGCAGGCAGCCCTGTTATATGATCAGCCTGTGTGATGTGTTCCTAATCAACCCACTGGTACAATATGTCCGGGTACATGTACATGTATGCCCACAAGGAAGGATGAGATCATTCAATGCTCCCAAAATAGAACACTAGAACACCGCACACACAGGGTTTTTGTCCAGAATATATGCAGCACATCACGTCGCACTCGCTTTGATTCTGCATGTAAAAATGAGACAAATTGATTTTTTTTTTCTGGGGGCTAATTAAAAGCTAAGATGTCAGTGATTAATCCCATGTGTTGACTGACAAGACCATGAAAATTTGTTCTTGCGTTGATTGGCACTAAAAATTCATTTAATTAAGAAATATGTTAATCAAAAAAATCTATGTAATGTTTTCTTTTTAATGTATTGTATTTCACAAAGATGTATAATGAAAGCAACTCATTTCTTTTTTCTTAAAACCTATTGGTCGAGAATGCTGTAAGCATATAACACGGAATTAAAAAGCAAGTACTTAGTTAGAACTGTCAGGCAAAATTTTACGCGGTCTCAGCTGGCCTAGTTTTTAAGCAAGACCCCATTTCCTTGTTCTAATTCATTCCACTTGCAGTTGCACTGGGAATTTACTCCGCAAGTGATGTGTGTCTGGCTTCGTCGCCCCCACAACAAACCGTCGGGGAGAACACTGAAACTGATGGATGGACAGATGGAAATAGATGGAACATACATGTACATTTTTGTACAATCTACAAACTGTAGAGTGCAGGCTCATTCTCTGCACCACAGCTTGTAAAAATCCAAACAAGCAAATAAGAAAACAACAGGAACAAACAAAACCCAAACAAGTTGTAAACACGGAAATAGGCCACCTTACATGTACAAAAATCGTATTAAATTGTACACGGTATATGTGTGCCCACAAAGAAACAAAATGTAAATTGTATGGTAAAGTCATTCTAATTAACCCTAACCACCCCATTCGTCCTTCAAAATCCAATGTTCTTGTTGAAATCTGTTGGAATGAGGACTGCACTAGTAAACTGCTTTACATGGGTTTAGGCATACCACCATAATCAGAGTCCAACAGTGAGGAAGGATCCTAGTATAAAATCAAGCTCAATAGTGGTTAGGAATATAGGGAAGAAATGGATAATTTTAAATAAATTCTTTCAAATTTCCAAATTCATCATCAGAGGATAGTCATCTCTAGCCTACGGTACACATACATGGATACGTGTACATTTGTATGTGTTACAGCGTTAACTTTTATTTTGACAGGAAATCTGCATATCTGAAGCAGACAAGAGTATCACCATGAAGAATCTCTCACCCAGAGCTTTAAAAACAATCTGAGGAATTTAGTAAACAAACTCAGCACTGGATAGGAGTGTCCCTCCTGATAGTACAGATACATGCTTTATGTACAGGAAATTCTCATATCATTCAGGATCCATCCCCTCATTCACAGTGTATACATTTCTTGTTGGGCTAGGGCTCTCATTTTTACAGTCAATTTACGACTGCTGCATTTCAATGAACCACTTAAAGAAACTACAGTGCGTGCATACATGTACACGCAGTAGAAGAACCGTACAGTACATTTACACAGCAACAACAGGAAGCAGAATGTTTATGAGCGAGTCCCAT